CGATTTGCTGATTAAGCTGCCTACACACTAATCCAGGCCTCCATCATTCGGTAAATTTTGAACTACAGAACTGTTCGGTAAAAGTTTAAAAATCAGTGAAAAATCCAATTATTAAAAAAATCATCCCGAATTTGTACAGAAGTTGTTCAGTTTACCCCATTTATTGATGAAAAATAAAATTTATGAATTTTCTTGATTTCTCACGTGTAACGGTCATTTGAAAATGTTACCGAGTTGTTCTGCTGTTCAAAAACCCGGTAAATTCCTACCGACTTCGGTGATCTGAATTAAGTGTGTATACGTTATCATCATCTTCCAAAGGCCTGTACTACCAGCGGCCCTTTTCAGGGCCACCAAGATTTTCCAAAAGAGTTAAATTTCTGAACATGTCCCAACTAAAATTCATATCAAAAGGTTCTTTTCGTGGCAATTATAGCCATACAAAAGAGTATTTTCAACAGAGAGAACCCCACTAAATTTGCTATTCCTACACAAAACACAAGCTCCTGCTGCAGTTAACAAATAACATTTATTATATAAGGCAACGTAGTCCTACGTCATCATTGCGTACAACCCCATAGGGCTGTCCCTTGTAGTTTTTTTTAAATGTTCAAAATTTCCTGCCAAACCCTCCCGGAAACTCTTTAAATTCCCATGAATTTTATTAGAAATTATCTTGAAACTACCTTCGAACTAGATTGAAATGTTGCTACTATTTTTTTTTTTGATTCCCATGAAATTATAATCCATATTCCCTTGTAGCTCTCCTCAGAATTTCTCTTTGATTGATTCATTAATCAACATTTAAGAGATTTACAGTGGGTGATGGGCGTAGTTCCAGGATTGTAATCATGTAGTCAAGTTTGCCGTAGGGTTAATTCAATAAAGGAGGCTCCGAATTCCCGTTCTGCCTAGTGCCCTTCGAACAATGTAAATTGACTGAGATACATTTCAAAATTCCCTTTGAAGACCATTTCCGAGATTTGCAACAATTTATCCTAGCTCTCATTTGTACCAAGTTCAGGTTTGTAATTCTTTGACGATTTTCTTTACAATTGGCCAAAATAGGTCCAAGGGCCTCTCAAATTTTATGAAATTTTGCCCACAGGTAGAGTTAACATTTGAGAAAAAATAAATGGAAATATTTGGCGTTGGGTTTCCCGGAAAATTTAAAATTCAAATTGTCAATTTCCTGGCCATCGCATACTCCAAAAAATTAAAACTCATAAAACAAGTATATTAATAAAACATTTGTTTTGTATAATACACAAAAAAAAACGTCACAACTTTCGTAAAAGAACATCTACCAATTCTCAACAATCTTCAATATATGCGTCTTCATATGTCCTTGAAGTCATTTGAAGATAGTTCTCAAAATGAAATCGAAATAAAAATGTTAGAACAAAATATCTTTTTTTTTTTCAGATCCACCCTAACTAAATTTTGAAAATTTGTTCATAGAATCATATGTTGATCTGATAGAATTTTGATTTCTTGGGAACAGTTGCTAGAAATTCAACTATCCCAAGTAACATTGCATGTTTTATCGAGGTTTTAAAGCATGCTACAAGTCTAAATCATGGTCTGCAGAACCCTCATAAAACCAAAATTGTTACTTGGGCTATAACGTTCTAGAAGCAAGTATTCATTTAATCTTTTAAAAAAAGTTATACATTTTAATTCTTAAAACAGAGAACCACTCTTTCTAGTCACCATCTGCGTCAAAAGGAAGATCTTTTCTTGTAGACAAACTCTTTCCAAGATGTCAAACGCTCTAGAGGCATAGTTTTTCAGATATCGATTTTTGTCGTGAAATTTTGCGTATTCGACCATAGTGGAGTCCGAAGATATATTTCGAAGAATACTGATGTTTCGACAAAATTGGCCAACAAATTCCAAATATTTGGCGTTTGGGCAAGTAGGCCGGTATCAGCTTTATAGGTTTTTCAAGATCCAAAGAAAATGGGCTTAACATTCCGTGCTTGAAGAAATGTTCATGAACCATGACAAGTTATAAACATTCCTAGGATTAAGAAGCAGTATGCAAGACGATAATCGTGGATATTCGAGAATTCGGCCCCTTGAAAATATTCTGCACTACGGACATTGAAAAAGTTCAAAGATTCCAGACAGAGATCAAATTTCAAGATCCAGGATTGGGATTAATATTTTGGAATTAAAAAAAATGTTTGAAGACTCTTCAAAGAAATAAAATCTTAATCATCAAAAGCAAAATTCTCTAGATTTAATACAATTTCCTTAGGATGTCCCAGAGGTTTGTTTTTCAAGGATCCTCTAGTATATTCTTGCGATTCCCTTAATAACACTCTATGAAATCTCAGTAGTGTCCACGTTTCATTCAGTTATTGGATTCGGAAACATGGCCCGATGTTTTCTGAATCATCTTGCCCCTTAAATGCCACACAGCAGGTTTGATCGAGTGAGAAATATACATCAAATATAGAGGAAAAATTAAGGAGATATATGCACCATTTTCCAGGATGCTTTCAAGAACTAGCTGTGTTGGTGTTAGATTAGATTAAAGAAAGACTTTATGAAATCTCGGTAGGTCACATTCAATTCTCTTTGAGCTGCTGATAATTTTCACTAGAATTATCTTAAATTTCACTTAATATTCCCTCAATTCCTTTAAAATATTCAGGTTCCCCTTGGTACAATTTTTAGAATAACAAAATTCTTTTCAGAAATCTCTTGGAATTCACCCCAGATTCACCCGAAAGGGTCGATCTATCTAAGATGCAAGGAAGATTTTTTTTTTGTAAATATAGAAAGAAGATTGATGACAGTTTTGAAAATTTCCTGTTTGTTTTGTAGATTTATTTGCTAGCGTGCGATTTTTCTAGCATCTTCTTTGTATTGAGATTTAGAGGTGACGTTCTGAAATTATTATCCTGAAAATTTCGGGAAAATGTAGAATGCAGGGTGACCAGTGAACCGGGAAAACGTCGGAAATTCGAAATACCCGGAAAAGCCCGTGAATTTCGATGATACACCGGAAAAAAATATACTAAGCCTCTTTTTGAAAAAAAAAAGATTCTGGGTCTTGTCAAGACCTTTGGATTGGACTAGATTTTCCGGGAGCAATCACTTTGAAGAACTAAATAGAGAATTTTGATGACAATTCCAAATGAATTTTAAAGAAATTTTAGAATTTATTCTAGAATTAACAGCAAGGTATGTCTGAGAAAAACTCAAAAGGAGTAATAAGAAGAACTCTTAAAGAGTTCTAATCAGAGCACCACGTCAATAAGGTGAGCTCAAAGTACACTGTTTAGGTGACGATTGTAAAGAGGATTACTGGTCCATAATTACATAATTCATATTCTTAATAAGTTCTGAGAAGAGTGTTAAAAGATATCTTATGAGAAATCCAAAAAAATTTGACGGTATTGAATTCTGAGGAAATTAGAAAGATAATTGCAAGTGATTTCTGAGGAAAAGTTTAGAATTGTTAGGCTATAATTCCAAAGGAATTTTTAGATTAGTTTTATCGGAATTCTGAGGATAGTTCCAAGGGTATCTTGAGAATTTTCTAGAGTATTCAAATAAGAATTCCAGGTGATTGTAAAGAGGAACTCCAAGATAATTCTGAGTTGAATTGCATGGAAATTTTAAGAGAATTGCAGCGAATTAAAAAAAAATGTAGAATTATCGAACGAATGAATCATAAACAGTTCAAAGAGAATCTTAGGATAAATTCCGTGATTTTTTTTTAAGTCTTCTGCAGACAATTTCTCACAGTCCAGGAAAAACGCAATAAAGACCTTTTGAAGAGACCAGAGCGAATTTAAAATGATTTATGAAGATTTATGAGAAAAAAGTCCGTGTAGCGATATGATTCTAATGTAAATTCTAGAGAATTTTCTAAAGATATCCTGCGTAGAGTTCTGAGCGAAAACTGATAAATTTGGAAGACTTCGAACGCAGAACAAATACAAGATCTACGAAAACTTCTGCTGTCTTACTAATTTAATATAGGCGGCCTCCCTAATAAAGAAAACCTAACTTAACCAATTTAAAGCAATGCTTCATTTGGCACAATCGCGTTCTGTTTAATGTGGAAAATTACCAAAATTCCAAGAAAAAAACGGGAAATTGCTAACCGGGTTTTGCTGGCCACCATGAGAATACTGAGGAAATTCTGAAATGCTCCTTCATACTTTTCTTTAAAAAAAATCCTTTATGTTGTCCTTGAAATTCTCCACGGAATTTCCTTCGAATATTCCTCGAAATTCCTTTGATTTTTTTTTCTTTAAACTATTTGTAGAATATAATTCCTTTGGAATTATGCTCAGAATTCTCTTGGAGTTTTCTCAAAATTTAAATTGGATTGATCTGAACTGCAATATCCTTCGAATACCATTTGGCCTGTCATTCGAATACGCCTCAGAATAACCTTTAATAATTAAATTAAGTGAATGAATTATTCTCCTCAGAAGTGCTTTGAAATTCTCCTTAAAGTTCACCAAAAATTCTCCATACAATCCACATTGATTTTTCTTGCAACCCTACTCCGAAGGTAGTATGACATGTGTCCTTGAATTCTAATCAGAACTGATTTGGAATTATTCCCAGCAATAATTTGGAGATTTGCCCTTTAATTCTTCTCGTTGGAATCATCTCTTGAATTCCCTTACATTTTCCTCAAAATTCATAAGAAATTTTCTTCCAAACTACCGTAATTGCCATATTGTTGCGGTTAATTGTGTTACCCATACAAAAATATATAATGCCTATCTTCATTATCAACTCAATTGAAATGATCCATCATAATATGTTCAAATCCCTAGTAGCAACAATTTCATTTTTTGTTTTCTTCGATTATAATAGTACATTAGCGGCAAGAATGACATTCAAAGCTTAAGTGAAGGAAAAGCGTAACGGAGGGGAGAATTGGTGCTGAATTTTGCGTGACTTAAACTCTGATAATTCCTGCAATCCTACTTATGCCACATTTTCTTCTTTTTTCTCCATTGCAGATTTTGACGAAATAATCATTGGATTATCTGATCAGTACACATTGCTGCGGTAAGTGAGTTTTAAGCTTAGTAAAAACATGTTATTATTCATCGATGTGAGGTTTCGCAACGTAGTCAACCGATAACACCCTGAAAACTCTGTTGCAATCAATTTCCGACCAGTAAGCAAACTAATGTCCAGTCAGTACACTAAGCATGATAACACGGTTTGAATGAATTGGTGTATTTTACACGTTATTTACGCTTACAGTCGCAACAGAAATTCGATTTAGATTAGCTCAACTGCAAAGCAACTGTTCATACCTGTAGTACAGTTCAGGTGCAATTGTTTGGCAACTCAGCAGCACTTCCTGTTTGTAAATTGTTACTTTTGGAAACCTTCCCTAGCGCAGACATCAACTTTAAGCTTAATCATCCCTAGCAGGGACATCAGAACAGACATGACTGGTCATTAATTAAATCTAATTCTATTTCTCCCTTCCGTTCGCTCGTTACGTGCACCCCAGTTAGTCAACGTTATCCACGTAATCATTCAGCAGACTAAACATCTCCAATTCAAGGTTTCCCGATTGCCACACACAGCAGGCAAAAGAGTAACATTTCCACATGTTTATGTTTCACTCACAGCCCTGCCGCTGTCATTCTTATCAGAGAGGGGCTACTCACGCTAAACCCGCCAATCAAGACGGGGCCGCACGTGTACACGGTTATTATAGCAATTACCCCTCGCGTCACACTCTTCTCAACTGACTGGCTCCGCCGTCGTCCGTTCGATGTTTATTGCTTATTTCAGCTTTTCGGCGTCACACCACACATGACGACGACGACGACGACGACGTTTCTTACAAACTTCGCATCGGAAATTTATATTACGTACCCACAATGAGATAGTTCGATAGTGTAGCGTGATAGTCGAGGTTCGAACAGTGTCCGCCACAAGGTCGATCAAATCGCTTGGTTTTCTTCATGCTGATTTTTGTCGCACCCTCGCGAAGATTACTATCATCACGGCGGACTAAAATTACGACGACTAATGATCCGTTTGTTTTGCCGTTAAATGTGCTTCAGGGCTGTTTGAGATGTCATCGTCGTCGCAGTTGTTGTTGCTACCAGCTAGCCGCCTGCAGGTGCATTATTTACTTGTTTTGTACTCGGGAGAAAGTTGTTTAAGATGAAAACACAGCCAACTGTCACGTGACGAAATTTAAAGATGGGGAAGAGATTTTCCGCTTTTCGAACAACGCGAACACAAAGACGAAGGAAACCCCCCCATAGCATAACCCATTCCAAGAAGTGTGTGCGGTGTGGGAGTGAGCTTTATTTGGCCATGACACCTCTACCCGTTACCCGACAGAAGAGTAGTTTTGCTTCCTTGTTCTTCTTGGTCGAACCGGTTCGAGGTCGGCAGCAGGTCACACCAACGTACGATGCTGGTTTGGTTCCTGGATGGACAAAGGAAAACTTAGTTTTTCCTTGTGCGGGGTCAGGCGCGCACAAGACAACTGACTGACTGCACAATTTTCCTTTATCGTCTGCACTCAGCTCCAGTATTGGTCGTGGTTTGGTTTGGATTGGATGACGGGATTGCTTTCCATCCATCGTTCGCTCCAGTGTGTGATGTGTGAGGATGGAACCCAGATTAATCTTCCTAGCGGGGGGGTCGTGTTTTTCTCGTTAAAGGTATGAAGAAAATGGGTACACGACATTAGGCAGAATGGATAGGGATAATTCATATTCAAATAAAAAATCCATTATTTCTTTCATGAGTTGTTCATGATTTCTGTTACTGAGCGATTCCAGACAAATTCGCAAATCCATTATTTATTTGTATTTTTGATTTGGCTGAAAATTTTCAGAAACGGTTCCTCATGATTAAAAATGCCATTTTGCATCTTCAGATTACCATTTTAAATCGAGCCTTAATTTTGAAAAGAGGCAGTATAAAAATGTTAAGCTTATCTTCATAAAACTGTTACCTTGTCCAATCGGTTACCATTGGAAATGTTGTCCGGAACATCTGGAACTATTTGAAAAAAAAAATGCTACTTTAAAATTTCGCTATTTACACTATTTTTAAAATTTGTATGGGCCGTAGATTTTTTAAATGTTGGTATTTTCTAGCTATTTTCGAATGTATTTCGCTGTTCTCCAGTTCCGACAATGTTTTTCCCCGAAAGATCCGAAAATTCTAAAAATTAAGGCTCGATTTAAAATGTTGATCTGAAGATGCAAAATTGTCATTTGTGGTCATCTATTTTCATACCAATGGGTCATTTGACCGATTCACAAAAATGCCCACGAGCTGTTCTTTGAAATCAACCTTAGGTTTGGTAACTTTTTAAGTCCATGTTGATTTCTATATGGGGGTACACTTTGTGACAACCGCAAATGGAACATGTAACAAAATTATGAAAGATTTTGAACATTAATAACTCAGCTGTCCCTGGACCAATTTCAATGACTTTATCACCAATCGATCAGAAATATGTCTACGCATCAATAGATATGCTTCCGAATGATGATTTTCAACAACAAACTGTTGAAAAAGTGGTAATGTAGTCACTATTTTTATGAAATAAACGTGCTTCCCAAACCCAGTCGTCATAATCGAGTACCACTCGATGCACATCATTCTGTTTTACCCTGAAAAGATATAAAAGCGCACTGTTGTCTACCCTCAACTCATTTTCGCTTCGGTGGTGGCAGGTTAGGTAGTGCACTCTTCTACCTTACAAGCAACAATGACTGGTTGTGGCAAAGGAGGAAAAGGTTTTGGTAAAGAAGGCGCCAAGCGTCATCGCAAGGTTCTTCGTGATAACCGCCATCCGTCGTCTGGTTCGCCGTGGTGGTGTCAAACGTATCTCCGGTATGATCTACGAGAAAACACGAGGTGTGCTGAAGGTATTCCTGGAAAATGTGATCCGTGATGTGGATGTGAATGCGGTCATGGATGTCGTTTACGCTTTGAAGCGACAGACGCACCCTGTACGGTTTCGGAGGTTAAATCATCACCAACTTTGACAACAGGTGTTGGAATAGAATTTATCTATGCCTGTTTGTCCATATTCAGAACCACACGCCGCCCCCAACGACCACACAAAATGCTCTCCAGAGTTGTAATCTTATAACCAAACTTGGAAGCAGAGGTGCAAGTGATTTTGATCGATTCTCTTAATCTTTCGTTAATAACTCGTTAATTGCCCTTTGCTTTGAAGGATTGACATTGGAAAACTACGCAAAGGGAGAGTGTCGCTACTTGATAGCGAACTACTCATGATGGGAGGCGTGTGCAAAAATAAAGGCAATCAAAATTTGATTTTGTGATTGTTTTCCAAACACAGACATCAAATTGAAACACCATATTGTTTATGCATTGTAGCATTCTCTGCAGTGTTGGGAAAATATCAAAAAATCAAATCTCACCAACGCCCAAGATCACGCTTGATTTTCGTAGACAAAATTCAACAAGCAAACAACTGCGGTTGATTTTGCAATCTGTGATATCGCAGCTCGAAATATCAAGCTAACAAAACTCACCAGCTGCAAATCTCAACAAACTGTGGTGAGATTGAGTTTCATGATTTTTTTATTTACACCTGAATGCAACCGAAACTTCCATAACGGCTGGCAGCAGTCACTTCGTGTCTGCCATCGGTGAAGAGTAAAAAGAGATAGCAAACTATACTTTCTCTTTCTAAGAAAACGATGTGCAACGGAATTATTTTTGTGTCGAGTCATTTCTCAGCTTGATTTTTGCACGTTGTGAATAGTCTCTCAATATCAAAGGAACTTGTAAAATCAATATCAAGCATGATATTTTGTTCCAATAATGAGCGCATGAGAGAGGAAAAATATCAATTGATTTCTGATTTTGCCAACACTGGTTTCCTTTACACGTAGCTTTCAATAATAGTAGCATCCCGGTTACTGCTTGAACTGCATACTTGGTGTTTACCACGTTTAAAATTAATCAAACGCTTCATTCAATTCGAAATTGTACTGGATTAGAGGTCCATGTGTTATTTCATGAAAAAATGTCCAGGAAAATTGCTGGAAAATCAGGGAATTTTGTTTTCTTTATTGAATCGACACCCTGATTCCCCTTCTAATTGAGGAAATTAAGCGAGGAGGGAAGCTCCTATTTCACGGCCATACATACACCTCGCACACCTGTGTACATGTCGAGGCTCAACTCCGCTGGGAATTTCTCCCGGATGGCTCGTTTCACTTTCCCATATTTCCCCAGCACGTCTATAGCTGGGTACTGCGGAGTCGAGCAATTTTATTTTGCAAGCTAATGGAAAACTGCTTGAAAATTTTCTCAAGTTTAAAATTGATTTGCTCTTTCTCAGTTGATTCCCGCTAAGAGCTCTGAGCCAGGAGTGCTCGAGCCCCCATGACTGTATCAAAGTTTGTTTACATACATGTTTCGCCAAAGTATGTTTTACTGTAATTGAAAACTCAGCTGCCTCATAAAAAATATGCTGGTTTTTAAACTTTCATCACTAAGCCTGTTGGTTTTTATCTTTTAGCTTAAAAATAAGAATGTGTTATGAAAAAGTATAGAACATTTTTATGAGATTACAATGCTTGACGGTAGATAAGAACAGTAACTGCATTTGCTGCTTCTGAATGTTTGGCTCCCGCTTGACAGTTAACACTGGCTCCCAAGTGACAAGCACCTTGAGTGAGTCCGCAGTACTCAGGTCTATAGGCCTGTTTATGTTGACAGATAAACAAAATAACTAGTAGAACTTATATGATTTTCGAGTTGAACTGTAGTTCGTCAGCTCGTTGAAGCTCTCAGAAGTTCTCCCAGCTTCAACCCTGTTTCTTTTCATTAGCTCCCTCAAATTTTAGAAAAATTTTCCTAATATCAACAAGTATCATTTATATCACTTCCACGGCTGGTGCAGGTCACTATTTTGAAGTCAGTCACTAAAAAGTCACTTTTCAAACCAAAAAGTCACTAAAGTCACTATTTCCCTAAAAATAGTCACTAAAGTCACTTTTTCACAACGAAAATAGAGTGAAATGGCAAAATATCAA